TTCGGGAGAGAGTGTTTTAGGTGAGGTCCAATGAGGCAGCGCCAACCACCACGACCACCGAACAACTGTTGTTGTGCATTGCATTCACTTTGCTTTGCAATTATTTTGCGTTGCAGTTTAGTTTGTATATGGTCTGGCTTGTCTGGTTTGAGCTTAGTGCTGGAGCCTTAGCTTAGGACGATGTTTTTTCCATTACAGCTATTTTGGTTGTGCAATTCTTTTTGGGCATGGCACGTGTTTTGCATGCGGTCTGGCTGTTCTGGTTGGCCTGGCTTCAGCTTAGTCTTGGAGCCTTAGCTTAGAATTCGGGCGACAATGGTTTACGGGAGAACCAAGGAGGCAGCGCCAACCACTACGATCACCGAAGAAAAATGTGTTTGCAGTGCGATTGTTTGCATTGCAGTTGCTTCTGATTTGCAGTTTGTCTTGCGTTGCAGTTTTTCGCATCTGGTCTGGCTGGTCTGGTTGGTCTGGTTTGAGCTGAGCGCTGAGGCCTTAGCTTAGGACTTGGACGAGAGTGGCTTAGGGGAGGTCCAGGGAGGCAGCGCCAAAGACTACGGCCGAAATGCAGCTTGGTTTGCATTTCATTTGCTTTGTTGTTTTTTGCTTGCATCTGGTCTGGCTGCTCTGGTCGGTCTGATTTGAGCTTGGGGCAGAAGCTGGAGCTTAAGATGTGCAGTGTTTGTTTCCCTCATGTTTTGCCTTGCAGCTTTTTTTAATCTGGTCTGGTTTGTTTGGTTGGTCTGGTCGTCTAGCTGATCTGTCTGGTCTGGTTGGTCTACCTGGCTAGTTCGGCTGGCTGGTCTGGCTTGTCTGCTTGGTCTGGGCAGGTTGGTCTGCTTGGTCAAGTCTGTGCTTCGTTGGTCCGAGCGGCTGGCTGGTCTGGTTGGTCTGGTGGAATACCTGGCTGGTCTGGTTGGTCTAGCTGGCTGGCTTGACTGGACAATCTGGCTAGTCTGCTTAGACGTCGTCGTCGTCCTCGTCTTCGCCCTCGACTTCCTCGTCGTCGTCGTCGTCGTCGTCGTCGTCGTGATCATCTGTCCCTTGCGTCGCCGCAGCCGGGGCTGGGACCGAAAGCGCTGCTGCCGAAAGTCCGGCTGTGGCGGAAAAGGAGATGGGAAGGGAGAGAACGTCACCAGCCATATCAGTTCTTATGCCGCAAAGCAAAGGAAGGCGCTAGGACATAAACAAAGTTCGCCTCGAGCGGCTTAGAACGCTACTCGACATAGGAAGATCGCAACTTCGATTCGTACTTTCCCCAGCGATAATGCAGTTCGGCCTCGCAGCCCCTCTCCCCCGACAAAGACTGTCGTGGCCCGAGATAATCAGCTCTCAGGTGTTAGGGGGGTATGCGTTATCATTGTTGGGCACGGGGTTGCGCATGCTGCCTGGCCACCAACCCCGAAGGAAAAAAGCCAGCAGGGGCGTAGCCGACACGCTCTTGTAGTACTCCACGAACTCCTCCAGTGTGACGATGCCGTCTTTTTCGACCTCCCCCCTTGACGCGCGGGCACGGGAGACGAGGGGGAAGGCGGAGGGCGAGATCGACGAAGCAGAACGGGGGAGCGACGAGGGGATACGGGGGAGGCAGAAGCGGATCGATGAACGAGACGGCGCCAAACTCAGGGGCACAACAAGTGGCAGAAACAAAACAACTCGGAGGTCCGCGCGGATTTCTCGGATCGGCGCTGGACCCCCCTCCCTGGCGCGCGGAGCGCGCCAGGGGCGGCGCCGAAGGCGCCGCCGGGGGGCCCCAGCGCCGATCCGAGAAATCCGCGCGGACCTCCGAGTTTGTGTTTATGTCACATTCTCTTCCCCTAGAATTCAAGGGGCCGCGCGACATCCTCGTGCTCGGAGCTCACCCTGACCGTGCACCGTGCCTGCTCCGCCGCGCGGGCAGAGCAGATGCTGCAGGCTCACCTCGGCCCCCTCCCCCGGGAGGCCGTGTCGAACTGGTCGAGGAACCTCCCCTTCCCATCTCGGTCTGCGCCCCGTCCCCCCCCCCCCCTCCTCCTCCTCCTCTCCGCCTCCCCCTCCTCCTCATCTCTCCTCCTCACCTCCTCTTCATCCTGCTCCTCCTCCCCTCCTCCTCTCCTCCTCCTCCTCCTCCTCCTCCTCCTCCTCCTCCTCCTCCTCCACGTGACGTGTTTCGGCGCATGTGGGCGCGGTTTTGTCGCTCTCTGTCGCGTTTTCGATCGCGCTCGCGTGGTTTTGACGCGGTTTTGGCGCAGCTTAGTTGCGTTGCCGCATGTTTTCATTCGTTTTGGACAAGTTTTCGAGCGGTTTCGGCGATAGATGTCGCGATGCCCGCATGTTTTGGTTTGCCCTTGACGCGAAGTGGTCCCCGTCGGCGTTTTTTCGTTCCGTTTTGGCGTGCGTCGGCCGGGTGTTGGCGCGTTTGGGCGCGCGGTTCCTTTGCGGGGCTCTTATGCGTCGCGATGGCGTTTCGGTTGGGTCTTGCTTCCCTTCGGCGCGCTCTGCTTGGCGTGCTTTGGTGGGGCGTTGGCGCGAGCTGGGCGTCCGCCCCGCCCCCCCACTGCGCGCGCGCTGTGCCCGGGGCGGGGCAGCGAGGCGGGGCGGGGTGAACTCCGGGGCGTCGCCGCGGCTTCGGGGGGCGGCGGCCGCCGCGCAGCGCCGACCCCGGGCACTTCCGCACCCCGCGAGCGGCGCGAGCGAGGTCGCGGGCGCCCCGGCGGGGCGCAGGCCGGGGAGGGGCCGGGAGGTTGGGCAGGCTGGGCCGGCCGGCCTCGGCCTGCGGCCTTTTCCAGGTTTGCGGCTCGACGTTTTTGCTTTTCCCTGCCTCTGTGCCTCGCCTCTGTGTTTTCCGTTTCTGTCTGTTTTGTTTTTTGGCTCGTTTCTTTCTCGTAGCGTGCTCGTGATTTGCGCGCCGGTTGCTTCAGCCTTTCTGTTTTTCCTGGCGCTCTAGTTTTGTTTGTCTTTCTCAGTGTTTTGTCGCTCTTGTAGTTTTCTCAGCACGGGGTCCGGGGACCCCGTGCTGAGATTCCAGGCGCCTGTTCCAGAAGCATGTTCCAGGGCCCGCAGACAGCTCCCCGCTGCCAGCCTGACGCGCAGCATGGCTTCTGCTTGGAAATCTAGATGCTGTCCCCGTGCCCCCTGTGATACCCAGCCATGCGTCGTCCTGATTTTGTTCAGGACGGCGTCCCCGAAGTCTCGACCCTTTCCCAGGGACCGGTTTTTCCTCCTAGGTCGTTCCTTCACGGCCCCGAGGCCCGGCGAGGGCCCCCCGGGGCCGAAAATAGCGAAAAGCCTCCTGTCCGGATTTTTTTTACGACGCCATCATGTCTGGGTACTCTTCGGTGGCCATCTTCCGAGATACTGCCCCCGTCCCCCCTGAGGAGGAGGAGAAGGAGGAGGAGGAGGAGCAGGAGGAGCAGGAGGAGGAGGAGGAGGAAGAGGAGGAGGGGGAGGGGGAGGAGGTGGTGGAGTAGGAGGAGGAGGTGGAGGAGGAGCAGGAGGAGAGAGGAGGGGAGGAGGAGGGGGGAAGAAGGAGGGGGAGGAGGAGGTGGGGGGGAGGAGGAGGAGGAGGAGGAGAAGGAGGAGTTGAGGAGGTGGAGGAGGAGAAGGAGGAGGATGTGGTGCTCTTCTGTGACCATCTTCTGGGGCAGCGCCACGGCTGCACACATAGGCGCTGCGCTGCATGGGGGCTCGGGCCTCGCCCGCGGAGGCCCCGCCCGCGCAGGAGAGCCACTGGGGGCTGCTGCCGGGGTGCTGCCCGGGAGTTCCTGCTGGGGGGGGGCACCGCTCGAAGCAAAACCATGTGTTTGGTGCTGCTGTTCCCCTCTCGCTCTCTTTTTTGTTTCTCTCTCTCTCTCTCTCTCTCTTTCCCTCTCCCTCTTTATTTATTTCTCTCTCTATATATACATATATATATAGAGAGAGATATACATATGCATTGGTATGTCTCTTTTGCTGCTTCTCTTTTTGTTGCTGTTCTCTCTCTCTCTCAGAACGCGGGAGGCTCGGTGCGGGCCTTGGGTGAGAAACCGATGGGATGAGGAATCCAGAATCTGGAAGCCTGTGAAACAAGGATTGGGGCTTCGCCATGGACACCACCGCCGCCCTCTTCGGATAAGGAGCCCTCCAGGGCCTGGAGCCTACTGGGCACATTCCTTAACGAACGCCCCAGGCCGCATGTGGGGAAACCGGGAAGTACCGATACCGCTACTCCGCAGACCTCTCCCAGAGTGCGCTCTGGACCAGGAGTTTCGAGGCGAGTCCGGCGAGGGCCACAAGGGCCGCGCAGGAGGCCCAAACAGTGGAACACGGGGGGAGTGTAGCGGCATGAGTGCCTTGTCCTCCTCCGCGTAAGGGAAAGAAGTGGGGCAGCGCCAACGTTTGGGACGACGCCCCACGAGCCGGCGTGGCCGCCAGCCGGCGGCGAGGGGGGGGGGGAGAGACTTCTCAGAAGGCGGCAGGGCTTCTCAGCAGCCCTCCGGCCTTCAGCAAAGTGGTCTCTGTGTCTTCGGGGAAGGCTTCGAAAGCCTCTCGGAGAGCCGGGGGGACTTCCGGTGGGGAGAGACTTGAGACTATGTGGCGTGAGGCGTTTCTCATCAGCATCCTCATCATCACCATGATCATCACCATCATCATCCATTTCCTTCTCCTCCTCATGTTCATTCTCAACTTCGTCCCCCTCCTCCTCATATCCCTTCTTCTCCGCGCAGTCAGAACAATAAGACAAACCTACAATCAACCACAACAAGAAATACATACGACTAGAAACAATACGAAAATACGACACTCAAGAGCAATACAAAGCCATACGCTCAAAGTCAGTAAAGAAATCCACAGAGGCAAAAACGAGAAGACGCCCACACAAACATAGGGCAACGACAAGACGTCTTGGGTCCAGGAACCTTGTGAGGGTACCAACACAGCAACGACACATACAAGAAACACACACACACACTGGCGAAGGTCCGACCACATGCAGGTGTGGGTACGGCCGCTGTGGCAAAAAAGCCGTCCATGGAGCTCACCACGGCGCCACGGAACGCGTGAAGGCGGCGCCGAAAAGGAGGCCGTGCCGCCCTGCGGGCGGGCGCGGAGGTCGGACGCAACGGGCTACATGCCGATGTGGCCCGCTGCGGCCCCGACGGGCACCAGGAGCAGCGGGAGAAGACCTGCGGGCACGGCGTGCGTCGGGGATGGACAGTCCCCCCTTTAGTAAAACGTGGTTTAGTGAAAACGACCTGAGGCCCAAACCTGGCGGGCGCAAGCCTGGAACATAACGGCCGCGGCGCCATCTCGAGAACCGAAAACGGACAATTCACTAATCGACGTGTCACTGTTGGGGGTTCTGTCCACCCCCGAGTGCGAACGCAGCCACTGGGGCGTCCGGTGGAGTTCCCTGTGGGGCCACGATGCGTGACGAGCGGTGTGCCAAAGGGGCCCTCCTCGGGACTGGTCGGCTGACACACAAGAGGGACCCTTGGCAAGGGTGGCTCTGGGTGCGCTGCCTCAGGGGACCCCGGGGGAGCCGAATCCAAGCGCGGCCGCCAGTGCAGTGGGGGCTCCCGTGCGCCCCCAGAGGTCCCTCTGGCGAAGGGTCCCTTTTGCGCGTGGCCAGGCTGGCTCTGCATCCCGAGCCGTTCCTTTGCCGAGGAGGGCCCCAGGAGACCGAACACGTTGAAGAACCTCAGAGCCCGGCATCCGCCGGACCCCGTTCTCGTCGCGGCGGCCCCGTGCCGTGGACCACCGGTCCTCTCTTGTGGTGCGCTCCTCCTCCTCCTCCTCCTCCTCTTCCTCCTCCTCCTCCTCCTCCTCCTCCTTCTCCTCCTCCCCTCCTCCTCCTCCTCCTCCTCTCCTCCTTCTCCTCATCCTCCTCCTCCTCCGCCTCTCCTCCCCTCCTCCTCTCCTCCTCCTCCTCCCTCCTCCTCCTCCTCTCCTCCTCCTCCTCCCCTCCTCCTCCTCCTCCTTCTCCCCTCCTCTCCTCCTCCTCCTCCTCCTCCTCCTCTCCTCCTCCTCCTCCTCCTCCTCCTCCCCCTCCTCCCTCCTCCTCCTCCTCCTCCTCCTCCTCCCCTCCTCCCCCTCCTCCTCCTCCTCCTCCCCCTCCTCCTCCCTCCTCCTCCTCCTCCCTCCTCCTCCTCCTCTTCTCCTCCTCCTCCTCCTCCTCCTCCTCCTCCTCCTCCTCCTCCTCCTCCAGAGCTGGAAGGGCGGATCCGGCCACAAAGACGTCGGCGCCCCAGGAGGCTCAGAAAACGCGGGACCAAAAGCAGAAACATCGGCCGTACACCTTCTGGTCATGCAGGAAACGGCTCCCAGACCCCAGGGCCTCCCCCAGGGCCCCAGGGACCCTTTCTTCGTCCTGAGTCGTTTTCTGATGGTCCCAGTGCCAGAGCCCGAACACGGCAAAAAACCTCAGGATCCGTTTCCCTCAGGACCACTTTAGGGAACGAGGGACGGCATAAAATGAACTGTCACGCCTGCCTGCGGGCGGCTGGAACGATTAGACCCCTACGGATAGGCCTTCCAGCCACCCTGGGGCAGGCGTCCCAGACGGCGGAAGAGCGTATGTCATCCCGCTCTTCGCCCCCTAAGCGCTTGCTTCCTTGTGACCGCCTCGCCTCAATAGTCGATCCTAGATGCCTCTCCGCGCCCGTGGGCCCCGACCCTGGCGGGGACGGCGGCGCGGGGCGGGGCGGAACATCGCGAGCGCGGCGTCTGGCTTCGCCCTGCCCGACAGCACGTCCTCGGGGGGCACACGCCGGTCCGCGCGCCGCCGCCGCCGCCGCCGTAGACATTGCCGTAGCTGTCGCCGCCGCCGCCGCAGTAGACATCGCCGTCGCTGTCGCCGCCGCCGCCGCCGCCGCATCCGCCGCCGAAGCCGCCGCCGTCGTCGTCGTCGTCGTCGTCTCCGTCGTCGTCGTCGTCGTCGTCGTCGTCGCCAAGGCCGTTGTCGTACCCTGCCACCTTGGCCTGCAATCTTCTCCCAATGGGCGATTTTGCCTCGTTTCGCGCCCTGGGACCATCACAGACTGATCCGGCTCGAAGAATGTAGCAGACACAACATGCGGTCTAGGGCACCTGTCGTGACCTCTCGCGATGTCGCAACTTTCTCGCAACGTTTGACCTCAGGGGGCCGTCGCAGTCGCCGCCAAGACGCCGTCGCCGCCTCCGTCGTCGCCGCCGTCAAAGCCGAAGCCGAAGTCGAAGTCGTCGAGGCGTGACGCCGTCGGCAGGTCGCTGCCGCCAGTGTCGTCGCCGAGACGTCAGGTCGTCGTCTTCGTAACTGGTTGTCGTCTCCGCCGCCGCGGCCGCCGCATCTTTGCCTTCGTCCTCGTCCTCGCGAGACAGCAAGCAGGACAGGGAGGGCTGGGACGAAGCAGATGGCCAGCCCCGTCTGAGCTTCGGTGGCACCGCGAGCACGACGTGGCCGAGCAAGGAGCCGTGGATCAAAACAAATCCTAGTGTCCGCGCTCTCACTTCCTCGAGAGCGTCCAAATGGGGGGGGGGGGGCGCCAAAAAGGGGGAGGTGCAGATCATGGCCATAATTAGGCGTGTGCGCTGCCTGGAGGGGGTGGGTGGGGGCCAGGGGCCAGGGGAGGTCTTGACGTTGGCGACATCCGAACCCTGCTCCCCCCAACCATCGATTCTCTTGCATCGACGGGAGGCCGGGGGTAGGGTTCGGATTTCGCCACGTCCTCGACGAATTCCCAGTGCCGCCCCCGCCGCCCATCGAGTTCCCTGAATCGTGGATCGGCGAGGGCAGGGTTTGGACCTCGCCGCCGATAGCCATCCCCCCCCCCCCGCTTAGGTGGCGGCGCGCAGAGGGGGCTATATGGGGGAGGAGGGCAGGCATCTTAGAAGGGGGCTGCGTCTTAGAAGGCGTCGGCCTGGGCCATACTTCTACAGAGAGGGGGCCCGCGCTTTCTGAGAAGCAGCGGTGCTTCTACGAAGCCTCCCCCCCTCCCCCTATATCGGCGGTGGACAAACATCCCTTTCGTAAACCTGCCTGTAGAGAAAACGGCCCAGGACCGACACCGACGGACCTGGACCCGCAGAAATGACGGCCGCGACGCCTCTCGGGAACCGCAAACGGCCAATTCGCTCGACGCGTCAGGGTAGGAGGGTTTTCAATCTCCGACTAGAACCCTCTCTGCGCATGGCCAAGACCCAGACCCCCGACGCAATGATTTTTTCATTACGTCGACCCCCAGAGGTCCCGACCCTTTCCCCATGACCGGCTTTGCATCCCGAATCGTTTTTTGACGCTCCCGAGGCCCGGTGAGGGCCCCCGGAGGCCGAGAATGAAGGAAAACCTTCCGTCATGATTTTTTCATTGCTCGAGGGGGTCTGGGGAGTCAGTCATCGACGACCCCCCTCTTTTAACGGGCGAAGAACGGTATAAAATAAACTTTTTCGCTGTCGGGGGCGCCTGTCCCAGACCGGCTGGCAAGTTTATACCCTTACGGTGGCACCATAGGGGTATAAACTCTCCAGCCGCCAAGGGGCAGGCGTCCCCGACGGCGGGAGAAAAATTATGTTATACCGTTCTTCGCCCGCTGACTCTTGGCCGCGCCCGACTTCCGCCGCCGCCCACCGAGCGCCCACCCGGCCGCTGCCGGCTGACCCGCCGCCGGCTCCACCGATCGCCGGGGCGCCCGGCGGCGGCGAGGCGCGGGGGGCCATGCGGCGCCGGGCGCAGAGCGCACCGAGAGGGCAGGCACACTCCCTGGCGGCGCGGACCGAGGGGGCAGGGGGGAGGGGGCAGGGTTCTCAGAACCCAGACCCCCTCGGATAACGAAAAAATCAGGGCGGGAGGATTTGCCTAATTTTCGGCCTCCTCACCGGGCCTCGGGAGCGTCAAAAACGACTCAGGATGAAACACCGGTCCTGGGAAATGGGTCGAGATCTCTGGGGGTCGACGTCATGAAAAAATCATAAAATCATGACGTCGGGGGTCTGGGAAGGGGGCTGCTTCTCAGAGGTCGCCGGCCCTGCATCGGCAGAGAGGGCCCGCGCCTGCTAAGGATCGAGCAGCCTCCTCCGAAGGAGCACCTGCGCGCGCCCAGAGTCAGCACCGAGCCAGGGAGTCCCACCGACTCGAGGTGTGCGCCGTGTCGGGCTGCATCGGCACGGGGCCGACAGCGAACCGAGTCGGCTGCGCCGGGAGGCACACCTGCGCCGTCCGTGCGTCCGGGCCGCAGCGGGCCGCCCGAAAGTCGGCAGCGGATCGGGTCGGGCGGAACCGGCCCCGGGCCGGATCGATCGAACCGGAATGGGCCCCGGACCGACCCCCGACGTGATGATTCTTTCATCACGTCGACCCCCAGAGGTCCCGACCCTTTCCCCATGACCGGCTTTGCATCCTGAGTCGTTTTTTGACGCTCCCGAGGCCCGGTGAGGGCCCCTGGAGGCCGAAACTTGAGAAAAACCTCCCGTCATGTTTTTTCATTACTCGAGGGGGTCTGGGGAGGGTCAGGCCGGCCGAAGCGCCGGGCGGGCGGCGGGCGGGCCGGATCGAAGTCGGAGTTGTAAGCCTGGGCGATGTCCTCCACGGTGACGGTCCCGTCGCCTGAGCTGCTGCGGCGGCCAGAGGCTCGGGAAGCATGTCCACCTCCTCGGTCCTCGATCCTCCTCGGTCCTCGATCCTCCAAGATCCTCCTCGATCCTCGATCGTCGATCCGCCCTCCTCGATCCTCGATCCTCGTCCGCCGATTGGGGAGGCCAGGAGGACGTATTACACCACCGCCGCTCTGCCGCGGGCGGGCACTGGGGCGAGCGCGCGGACCTCTTGATCAGTCAGCCTCGACCCTCGAAATCCGCGCGAACTCCGCTCGAAATCCTCGAAGAGATCTTCGAACACCTCGACAACCTCGAAAACGTCGGGCCTCGAGCCTTGAAATCCTAGAAAAAAACATCGAAAACATCGAAGGCCTCGAAAAAATCCTTTAAACAAAAAAAAAACATCGAAAACCTCGGAAACCTCGAAAACCTCGGGCCTGGATCGGCGGCCTCGCTCCACTGGGCCCGCGCGGTCGGGCTCGGACCCCGTGGGCGCCCTACCCTCTCGTGGCCAGTGGCAGGCCCAGGCCCAGACGTGAGACGCCCTGATGTTTCCAAGACTCAAGGGGCCCTGGGACCCACAAATAGATGGACACAACCAACAGGATTCCCCCTATTTCCCCATACTTTCTGGGCTTTCGTCAACCCCCCCACTTCCCATACTTTCCCATATCTTCCTGGGGATCGACGATTCATTGTGTCTCTGTGTGTTTTTTCCCCTCCTGAATCCGGTCCCCAGAAGGAGAGGGGTCCCTACCCTCGGGAGCGGCCAAGAGGGGGGTGTCCAAAAGGGGGGGGTGCAAATCATGACCGGCGGCATGTGCGCGGCCCAGCGGGGGGGCCAGGGACGTGATGAAATGAGAAGAGGCGCCATGAAATCTGGGGAAATATCATGGCCCACGCCCTGATATCCCCCCCCTAGTCATTACCCCCCTCTTTGCCGCCCCCGATACCCTTGGCCCCGGGGCCGGTCCTGCAGCCCGAAAATCGCCCTTCGACGGCCTCTATGGGCCCAGTGAAGGGTCCCCACATGGAGCCGAAGGTTCTCTCTCTCTCTCTCTCTCTGCCTCTCTCCCTCTCTCTCTCTCTCTATATATATATATAGATATATAGCGCGACGCCTCCCGTCCGGCTCTGCTCGCGGCGCGAACAGGTCTGGGCACTCTCTTTTTGATGAGCCTGCTTTCCACCACCACCACCACCACCAGAAGTTGCAGGGGGGAGGAGGAGGAGGAGGAGGGGGAGGAGGGGGGGAGGAGGAGGAGGGAAGAGAAGGAGGAGGAGGAGGAGGAGGAGGAAAGAGAAGAAGAGGAGCAGGAGTAGGAGGAGGAGGAGGACCCCCCCTCACGCTCATGGTGGTGGTGGTGGTGGAAGGAAAACACGCCAATCACTTTGTTTCACACCTGGATCGAACTCTTCTGGCCTTCCTCGTACTCTCAGGACCATGCGCAGTGAGGCCAGGAGTTGAACTCACGCGAACGGAATCACGAATTCGTCACGCCCTCGACAGCTGCCAGTGCGGCGGCGACGGGCCCTGCCAACAGCAGGGTGGGAGGATATGCGCGGGAGGAGGTCGGCTGGGAGGGGGCGAACGGGGAAGAAGCCGACAAGGGGCGGTCCTGCCCGCCCGATGGGTCAAGCTCCTACGAAACAGCTTGCTCCAGCGACAGAGAGAGGAGATAGAGAGAGAGAGAGAGAAACAAAGAGAGAGAGAGAGAGAGAGCACGATTTCGGCGTCAACCTTGCTCCTGGCGGCTCCGAATGGAACCCGAAGAGTGCGGCGGATTGGCTGCAGCGGCAATGCGCAAGCGAAGCGCAACCCGGCTCCAGGCTGCGGCACCAGTTGAGGAGGGCGCGGCGCGGTCGCCGCCGCCGATGATCAGGAAGAGGGCGGGAGGAAGGGATGGAGGGGAGAGGGGGGAGGGAGGTCATTGTGAGGTGGAGGAAAAGAGAGGTTAGACCTTGCACGTGCAAACAATCATTGACTGCCCGCTACGGGCCCATCCGTTGGCCCACGAGCCAGCGAAGGGCGGTTTGCGGCTACTGCCAGTATGCGGCATGCGCTGCGCTCACTAGGGACGCGCGAGAGGGCGAGGGCGAGGGTGGGGAGGAGAACGATCGGAGGGGTGGGCGGAGGGATCGGAGAACGACGGGGAGCCCAGCAACGAATCGCCGCGCGGCAACTACTGGCAGGGCAACCTCGAAAGCGGCAAGCCGGTCCTGCCCAGAGTGCCGGCGGGAAGAGGCGCGATTCGTGGGCTAACAGCTAACACTAAGGTCAGGGAGCCTGGTGAGCAGAAAGTGGAGAGCGGCGTGAGGCCACAGTGCCATTCGGAAGCTACTCGCCGCTTTCCGTCATCCTTCGCCCCCGTCTGTCCAGCACCGAATTTGATTGAAACAGCGGAACATTGTCATGCATGCCAGGGCGGCTGAGCGAAGGCCGCCCAAGAATTGACTACCTATGGAACCCTGAAGCTACGAGGTGGTGGCGCAGACTGGGAAGGAAAGGGGGCCGGAGAGCGCGAACCGCCGGGAGAGCCGCCCGCCACGCGAAGATGCGAAGGAGCCACTCCTCCCAGCGGGGCCACACTATACAGCCCTGGCTGCCCCGATACGCAACACGCAACGCGTAGCGTGTTGACACGGAGCTCGACACGTAGGCTGGAAATGCGGGCCTGGCGCGATGCTGTACATAGTGCAGGACGTCAGCGGCTGCTGAGGCCACTACTCCCAGCAGGGCCACACTATACAGCACTGCACCTTTGCGCGACTCGGCGCAGGTGCAGCCAGGCCCGCTGCTCATTGAAGCTGCGGCGGGGCGTCGGAGCCGCTGGGGATGTCCTGAGGCTGCCTGTCCACGGCCAAGAACCGCGCCGGCCCCGCCGCGCGCCGGGTCCGCGCCACCCACGCCGCCAGCGCAAGGGCGCCGCCTGCACCCGCCGCCAGCGCGGCCAAGGCGGCCGCGTGCCTGCCGCCGCCGCCGCTGCCGCTCGGGAAGCGAACGGGGCCGCGCATCATGGAGTGCTTCTGCATGACGACGCTCTCCAGCCGCCCCCCGGAGGCCGCCGGGCGCGCCGCGCCGGCGCCGGCCAGCGGCTCGTCGGAGTTGTACTCCCGGATGGAGCTGCGCACCCAGCTGCCGGACTCCGTCAGGTCGGCCTCGGACCAGCCGCCGGAGCCGCTGGCCCCGCCGCGCAGGGCGGAGCACGACTCCTCCTTGTTGCTGATGGCCCAGTTCGAGTCCGAGATGTGGTGCTCCTCCATGAAGTCCTGCCAGGCCTGGGACTCCTCCAGGTCCAGGCGGCCGTCGCCCGTGTACTCGCAGGTGCCCCACTCGGTGGCGAAGATGGCGGCGCCGTTGGCGAGGGCGGTCGAGACCTTGCCCCGGAGGTCGGCGCCCATCGAGGCGGCGTAGAAGTGCACGGTGTACGCCAGATTGTCGCCCGAGACCGGGTCCTGCGAGGCCACGTCCACCTCCTGCGACCACGTCCTCGTGCCCAATATGATGATGTTGTCCGAGAATTCTCGGATCACGGGGACGACCTGCTCGTGGTAGGGCTTGATGACGCCCGACCAGTCGACCTGCTGAGGCTCGTTATACGTCTCGAACATCACGTGGGGCTTGTCGCCGTACTTCTGGGCCATCTCGCCGAAGAAGGCCTTCGCCTCCTCGACGTGGTCCTCGCCGTGGTAGGCGTGCCAGTCGATCACCACGTAGATGCCCGCGTCGATGCAGGCGTCCACCACGGCCTGCAGCTTCGCCTTCTCCGCGCCGGGGTTCTCCAGGTAGCCCCCCTGCTCCACGCCCATGGCGGCGCGGACAAAGGACACGTGCCAATCCTCCTTGAGCCACCTGATGGTGTCGGGGTTCCAGTACTGGCCCATCCACTGCGACCAGAACATGGACACGCCGCGCAGGCGCACGGGCAGGCCGTGCTCCCCGACGATCCTGCTGCCCTGGACGCGCAGCCTGCCGTGCTGCCTCACGGCCTCCACGTTCGGCACCACGGCGCCCGCGGCCGGTGCCTGCGCGGGCGCCGGCGCGGGTGCCGCGGCCGTCGGAGCTGGCGTGGGAGCCGGCGTCGGGAACGCCTCGAAGCTGGAGTCCACCACGGTGACATTGTAGGTCTTGCCGCCCACGCGCAGGCCGACGACGGAGCCCTCGGCGAGCGCCTGCGTGCCCTCGAAGCCGAGGACCAGCTCGGTGCCGGCACCAGCCTGCTCGCGGCTCTCCGCGCTCTCCTCGCACCAGGTCGCCGACCCGCACGAGCCGCACGCGGCCTGGGACTTGCTGCAGTAGCTCGTGGGCCCAGCGATGGCCATCGGCAGGCAGGTGCCGCAGAAGTCCGTGAGGTCGTCTGCGGCCCAGCAGCAGAAGCCCCCGCGGTCACCGGTGCCATCTGCTGCCATGGTGCTCCCGATGCGCATGGCCAAAGCCGCCATGGCGCCGACAACGGAAACTGTGCGCTGGGGCGCCATGGTCCAGATGGGTTCGAGACCCTCGGTTCCCTACGATTCTGGGCCTGGCAACAAGAGCCCAAATTACCTGAGCCAAAAATTGCTACGGAAGCATGTCTGGGGACTCTTGGTGGGATTTTGGGTGACCCAAAAGAGGGTACAGCTGAAAGGGGGCGGTGCAGTAAATTTTGGGCAATCATATTGCAAATGCGTCGCGCTGGAGAATCGGAGCGCATCGGATTGCAGGTCACATCTCGCACGCGAGAAAACCCAGCAACACCTCTGCGCCCTGGAATCTCGATGTGGCACGCCCCATTATCGCAACCCCACGAACCCAGACCCCCGACGGAATGATTTTTTCATTACGTCGACCCCCAGAGGTCCCGACCCTTTCCCCAGGACCGGCTTTGCATCCTGAGTCGTTTTTTGACGCTCCCGAGGCCCGGTGAGGGCCCCCAGAGGCCGAAAATGAAGGAAAACCTTCTTCATGTTTTTTTCATTGCTCGAGGGGGTCTGGGCCTCCGCTGCAGGATGGCACCGGAACGAAACCGGCCCACGAGGCATCGCCGGAGGCACCGCTCGGGCCGAGCCCTGGCCACGTGCACAACTGGACCTGCACAGGCGCCCGACGGCGCGTTTATTCTCTCCTCGCAAGGCGGGAGCAGCACTCCGACGCGATCGCCTGGCCAAGCGTCGCGGACATCCGAGGCCTCGTGGTATTTGCCTTATGTCGGGCCTGTCCCCCGACAGGGGGATTTCCGACGAAAAATTACGATGTTGGAGGTATCTTTTATTTTTCGTCGAAAATCCCCCTGTAGGGGGACAGGCCCGACGTAATCTTTGCCGCGGCGCGGCCCGCTGGAGTGGTCTGGACCCCTTCCTGGGGACCAGCTTCCCCTCCCGCGCCGATCTCGGCCGGTCACAGGGCCTGGCGGGGGCCCTCCGGAGGCCGAAGGCGGCCGAACTCCTCCCGTCTTGGCGGTCTTTTTCCCATCGCAGCATCAGGACGTACATGCTTCGATGTTGCCCCCATCAGCCCGCGCGCGTGGCTTTCGCATCGCGGGCTACGTGAGACAACAGGCGGCGAGGAAGATCTGCAAGCCGAGCCGAGAGGGGTGGAGGCCGATGCTGCGCTGTGCAACGCTGTGCCGCCCACCGCGATCTACCCGCAAAAATACCGCAGCTTAGGTGCCCCGATACGCAATACGCAACGCGTAGCGTATCGACACGGAGCTCAAAACGCAGACCGACACACGCATGTCAGACGCGATACGCTCGCCACAACGTGGACCAATTCGCTGAGCCAACGCGCAGCGTCTTGACACGGACGGCTTGAACACGATGCGCGTTGCGTCCCAAAACGGGCGCATCGAGGCAGCTGAATACCGCAGACAGCTCCGCAGAGGCTGGCGGAAAAAAAAAGCAGCGACGGCAGAGCAGGGCGGAACGGCCTCGAGGGGCGGCACGATGAGCGCGGTCTCGCACTCTGCGCGGGCGGCGGCTGGCGGGGCCCGCTGGGCGGCAGCCCTGCCCGCGGCAACCATTTCCTCGGCATGCGCCGCCGCGCTGGCAATGGCCGGCTCCTGGCTCCGCCGCGCAACTGCCGTCGCCAGCGCCTTGCACCTCAGCGCCCAGCTTATCGGCCCACCGCGCCCTGATGGCCGCCGTGGGAGGCAGCGGCTTGCCGAACGTCTGCTTCGTGCCAGGGGGCCGCCCCGTCTGCAGGTCCGATCTGGCCCGGGCCCGCGAACCCTGCCGAGGCCTGGCGGTCGCCCCGGCGCAGGCATCGCGGAACCCCTTTCGCACCATCTCGGGCGCCCTGGCGCACATGTAGCACTGCGTGCAGACGACGAACGGCGCCTCGGACCCGCTGAGGACCTGGCCCTGCAGCAGCTGGTGCCCGTTGACCATCCAGGGCTCGCCGTCGGCCTGTGGCGGCGGCGGCGCTGGCGCGCTGCTGGCTCTCGAAGCATCACTCCGAGGTAGACGCGCACGAGGTCCCCAGCCCACCTCGCTCAGGCCCGCCAGCTTCGCCGCAACCCTGGGGCCCTCGCTTCCCCCGCGACCTCCACCAACTCGGTCATGGTTTTGCTGGGCCTGCCTCTCGCGCGCCTCCCCCGCAGGCGGACTGGCCCCAGACGATGCGGCCCCCTGCGCAACAGCACTGCGGGCCGACTCTCCTGCCGAGCACCGCGAAGCCCTCGCCGCCTTCGCAGGGCCGCCCGGCAGAGACAGCACCCCCTGCTCAGCCTTGAGTCTGCGCGCCACCACCCGCAGGGCCGCCGCCGCCGAAGGGGCCTCCGCGCCACCTTGGTCTGCCACCTCAGCGTCGCCACTCGCAGGCTGGATGCAGGCCGCAGGCGCTTCCGCGCGGATGAGCTGCTGGGGCCGCTGGCCGTCGCGCCTGAGCTGGCCGCGCTGGGGGCCGCGCTGGAGAACGCCGCGGCCGCGGCCGCTGTCAGCCCTGCTGCCGCCGACCAGCCTGGGGAGCCCCCGGCCGTCGTGATGGCCTCGTCGCAGGCCCCCACGGGGACCTCTTAGACCAGGTCCTCCAAGGCTGCGGGCCGTGGGCCAGCAGCCAAGCGCGCCGCGTCGTCGCGGGCCCGCGCCATCAATCCCTCCAGGACCCGCACGTCGTCATCCGCTGCAGCATGTAGTCCGGTCCCCTGCTTGGCCCGAAGGTCGACCAGGCGGTTGCCGTCGCGCTCCAACGCCGTGATCTCCCCTCGCCTGACCGCCTCCTCGGACGAGCGGGCAGGAATGTGCCCGACCGACATCCCCTCCGCAGCGTCCCCCACGCGAGCACGCAGGTGGGCGTGCATGGAGATGGGGCCCTGCGCCCTCTGGGCGTCGCAGACGAAGTCCGCCGCCCCCCCTCGCAGTCGCAGAGGATCTCGTAGGAACCGACGATCTCCGCGAGGGCAATCACCGCCGCGTAGTCTCATTCAGCTCGCGCCGTCTGAGATGGGAGCTCATGCGGCGGCGCTGCCCCGCGTGCTCGGGCAAGCACTCGTCCGTCCGCCGCCGCGACGATGACGGCCTAGCCTGCGCTGCGCAGGGAGGCGAGGGTGCTGTGCATGCAGGAGCCATCGGTGAAGACCGGCGCGCACTCTGGGGCCACTAGAGGTCTCTCCCAGCCAGTCTGCTTCCAGTCCCATACACTCTGCCATCTCGGTCTTGGTGCCAGGGCCGATGTATCTACGAAGAGGCCTCGGGCAAACAGCTCGCCGAGCTTCGCGCCCATACCTCGCGCCACCTCTGCCGCCAGGTGCAGGTCGGAGGGCAGCCTGTCTCGGCGCCGGGCCGGCCAACGCGTTGCAAGAGTCTCCAGGAGCGTCCCCCAACGTGCTCACATGGGATTGCTCTGGCCCGCCTCCTCCTCCTCCTCCTCCTCCTACTCCTCCTGCTCCTCTTTTTTTCTCTCACGCAAAATGCCCCCCCCCCCCCCCCCTAACATGTCATGGATTGCGTCCGGGCCAGGAGCACGATGCGAATCCAGCCGTGGGCGGCAGCC